TCGGAAATCCAAGCCATCAGTGTTGGTCTTCTTTTCCTTCTTTTTTTTTTTTTTTTTTGACTTTACAATAACCCAGGCGAGTGTAATGAAACTGGCAGTCTCGTGTGTCTCTCGTTTCCTTGGGTTATGTGCTTTAGGCAGTCACAATTTGTGTTCTTTAATTCTTTTTATTTAAATTCATTCTCTGCCCCCCCACCCCAACTTCTTAAGTATGCTTGAATACATGCCATATCTGTGTAACTTATCTTGCTCAAACCCACGGTCCTTCTCATGCCAGATGCCCTCTGACTGGTTTTTCTTCCATTTTTGCAGGCGTTAGAACGGAACAGGATTTGTACGTTCGGCTAATAGATTCTATGACAAAACAGGTGAGAGAAGTTTAAGCTTTCTAAGAGTTGGCGAGTTGTTGAGTTTGGTCTTGTTTCTGAAGGGCTTTTCTGGGTAGACTCAGAGCCTCTCTGATGTGTTACTTTAAAATTCTATACTGAGGATAAATATTTAGGACCTGAAAGCATACCTTAAACTTGCCCTCTGGTCTTATAGTTAGTTCCACGTGCTGGTGTTAGGAAAAAGGAGAAATGACCAGAAAGGAAAATGTTAGAGAATTATATGGAGTTTATTTTTAAACCCTGCAGAAAAGCGCTCCAATGTTATCGTATTTTTATTTTAGAACAATTTGGAAGATTGCTTTTGTAACAAGGGTGATGAGATGAAAAGCAGGTTTTAATCTTGTGGCACTAAAAATCAACGGTGTCTTGCTCCCCCCCCCCCGTTCTTTTCTCTTTCTCTTTCCCCCCCTCTTCCTTTTAAAAGGGATGATTTAGACTCATCAGACATTTATTTGGGATGTAAAAGTTAAATGTGCAGAGGTGAAAAGTCATCTTGTTCTCCACTAGTGTGGATTCACCTCGCAGTCCCCCATCTCCATAATTCAAGCTCCATGCTCCAGAGGTCACACACACCCGTCCCTTTTCTCTGAAATCAGCTCCTGTTTCTTCCTCAAACCTCTGCCATCCCTTGTAAATAACAAAATTACAAGCTGATCCTTGTTAAATTATTTAACATGTTTTGGACAACTTTCTGAACTACAAACTTCTTTCAAAACAACTATATATATTTTTTTATAAAGATGCCTGTTAGCTGCTGAATGAAGGGTTCAGTCTCTTGGCTTTATTTTGTTTTTCTAAGAGATGCATTCACTGGCTTTTCAGTGTGCTTCCTCTGTTTTGGACGAACAAACAAATTAAGGGAACTGTACCCTTCGTAAATAATGCAGTCCCAAAGGTAATCCCTTATAAAATGCCCGGTGCATTATTATTATTTTGTCTTTCTTTGTGAAAGAGCAGAAAGAGGGGTGTATTTTCTCTGTTATCAACTGCAAAAATAAAAATGGAAACATTAAGGACAAAAGACTGTTTTCCTTAATGATACATTGAAGACCCCATTTCAGTTAGTTTAAGCTTTCAAGCGCCCTTCCCTCGACTCTTGTTTTTGAAAGCAGAAAGTTTTCAGTGTTCTTGATAAAAATAGGGTTAGATTTAAATGCCCCCAGCAGTAAATGAGTGGTGCTCTTTTGCAGAAAACCCGATCTGACAGGCAAACGCCAGTCCCTTGACAAAGACGGAGGCGTTGCGCCCTCCAATAATTTTTTTCAATAGGTTACAAAGAAAGCACCCCTTTTTAAACTCTGGAGCGCTCTCGAGTTGACAATGTCTTCTTATTTCCTTTGTACATACCAGCTAAATGTTTTCGGAAATCGCTGTAGGCTAATTAAGAGGATACTATGGGCAGCTCTGTAGGTTTCAGTGCTCTGGAATGAAGGGCAGAGAAAGAGAGAGAGAGAGAGAAACCAGACCGTTTTAAAGCACGTTTTTATTAGCAATGGAAGCTGCGGACTTTTGCAGAAGTTCCAGTGCTGAAAATACAAGCTTTTAATCTCTCTTCGCTGACGGAGGAGAGAGGGGGGGGGGGTGGAAACAGCCCAGTAACTGATCAAAGAGTCAATGGCGCTGAACCGACAGTTTATGGATTCTCTTGGTGCTACAAAATAAAAAATAAATCACATCTAAATACGCGGATTCATCCCAGGCAAAGTAACGATCACCCGAAGTGGAATGGCCTGCTGCAACAACAACAACAAAAAAAACATTTGCAGACCGGACTGCTGGTTGTATCTGCGGGGTTCTTCGCTACCTCAAGCTTTCCAGACAAGCCCAGCTTTTATCGGGGGAAATCTTTGGAAAACTAGGCCCACTGCTCGATTCCACGACGAGGAGTTTCGCGGGCTTTCTTTGGCATGCTTTCCCTGCATGGCGAGCACCAAAGTGGCTTAACCCCTGTTAGGTGAGGGGAAAACTTTTCTCGAAAGCTTGTGGCATCGAAAGAATGGAGATGGAGGTGCTTCCGTGTCCCGTCCCCACTCGCCCACCCTCCCGTCCTCTACTTATTCTGCACCGTACGCGGCACCGATTGCAGCGAAGGCAACGGAGCTGGTAGGAATGGGAAGCCAGTGGCCTCACTAGGCACAGACGGCTGAGGCCCAGGCTGCGAGAAGAGAAAGCAAGAAAGCCCGGAGGGAGGGAGGGAGGGAGGGGGAAAGCAAAACAGGCGAAGCACCAGAAAGAGAAAGAGAAAGAGAAAGAGAAGGAAAGAAGGAAGGAAGGAAGGAGAGGAGAGGAGGGGAAAGAAAGAAAGAAAAAGAAAGAAAGAAAGAAAGAAAGAAAGAGAAAGAAAGAAAGAAAGAAAGAAAAGAAAAGAAAGAAAGAAAGAAAGGAAAGAAAGAAAGAAAGAAAGAAAGAAAGAAAGAAAGAAAGAAAGAAAGAAAGAAAGAAAGAAAGAAAGAAAGAAAGAAAGAAAGAAAGAAAGAAAGTCCTGATTTGGGACCGCAGGGGCTCGTGTTGATGCACAGTCAGCCGTGGCCTTCCGGAGGAAGAGCCGGGCAGAGATTGCAGGGGCGCCGCTGCTCCGCGTCCCTGGCTCTGTTGCCGGGAAGAGAAGCTGGCGCGCTCAGGAAACCCCTCGCGGGGAGGCTGCCGGGCTCTCGCCTTCTCCGGGGGAAGCGGGGCTGGGGCGGGGGAGGGGCAGGGGCGGCTTTGGCGGCGGCTGGGAGGCGAAAAGCTGCTTTACCAACCGCGGTTTGCAGTGCCTGCTGCTCCCAGGTCGGTCAGGCTCCAGATCGGTTTCCCGAAGTCTGGAGAAGGGGGAGAGAGAGAAAGAGAGAGAGAGAGAGAGAGAGAGAGAGAGAGAGAGAGAGAGAGACGCACCTATAGCTCCGCACCATCTGTTAGAGCCTCTGCTCAAAACCCATTCAACCGTGCGCCCAGACACACTTGCCTTTTTTACCCAAGAAAAATCATTGTTAGCACTTTCAAAATAAACACCAGATTGCCCATTAGCACTTTTCTTCCCCCCAAATATCAGACCGATGATAGCCACATTGTAGTGCACGCGGCTGGGATTCCTCAAGGCGGTTAGGCGCTCCTTTGATCGGGAGAAGGAGGAAGAGAGGTAGAGTCCAACTACTTGAAAATAAACTGTAATCTGCTCTATGAGCGCTCTTCGAAAAGAAATGCCTGGTGTATATATATACATATACAGGAATAAGGGCCGGAGCAGTAGCCACGCTTTTTCTTTTATAAAAGGCCTACTTCATTGCAATTTAGTCCTTCTGGGCCCACCCATTTGCATTAATCTTGGTTGGGGGGCAAAAGGCATCTGGGCATTACCAAAAAAATTACATGGTGTCTGATTTGTAGGTTGCTGAATCTAATTGAAATACTGTCCCTGTCCTTTAAAACGATGCTATGCAACGTGGATACTGATCCTTGCATGAACAATAGCCATAAAATCCTTCTAATTAGGCAGTGACAATCTTTAAACTTAACAAATCGACAGGGCCTGTTTGTCAACCACTGAGAATGTTCTAAAGGTTTGGCTTCAAAGACAGCAAGAGTTAATAATTTTGTGTAAGTGAAACACTGGGAACCATTGCTATCCAAAAGGCACTGTTGCTGAATCCAAAAGTCAAATCAAAGTTCTGTGCTTTAAGGGAAGAAATAATGTTTCTTTCTTGTGCTGCTTGTTAAATCCAAACCTCAGGAGGGTATAAAAAGTATTGTACTCTGATTCTAATTGGCATAACATGTTACCCCAAAATTGTTTTTTTGTATATTACATGCTTTTTATTTGCAAAGGTAGATTGGGAAAAAAGAAAATAAACCCACCTCAGCTTTTGGCTCTGTCAAAATGTGCATATTAGAGGAAAATCTGTCACAACTAAATAGTTCCCTACAGGGAATGCCTACCTTGGAAAAGACTTGATCTTAGAGATCTGAATCATATTATGCTCCAGTGGATTGGGTTTTTTTTTCTTTTGAATGGGAGTTTTCTCTTAATCTGGATTAGTTTAGTAAACCCAAATAATATATAGGGGTGAAATGACAATTTACATTTTAATTGGGTGGTCTTCTTCTCCTTCTTCTTCTTCTTCTTCTTCTTCTTCTCCTCCTCCTCCTCCTCCTCCTCCTCCTCCCTCCCCCCTCCCCCTCCTGTTGAAATAGTTCTACCTAGCCAGATTTCTATCTGATAGTACTGTAGGAATGTATTTTTATTACATTTGTTTAAATGTAATAATGTAAATTTGTTTAAATAAAAACATTTTTTTTTATTAAATTTGTTTAAAAAATTGTACCTGCTAAGATCTGGATTTATGTAATGAATCAATGTAGAAATAGAGGAAACATACCTGGAATATCCATTTACTTTTTTATAGAGACCAATTGAAACAAAATGAGACTTATTCTCTCAAAAAGTATTCTCTTTCAGTGCACAGAACATGAGGGAAATAGAAGAAGCAAGATCAGTAGGCAAATCTGAAAGTCAAATAATGCTTATTAATTATGCTCAAATTCTAACTCCTTAAAAGATGAGGGCTGTTGGGTTGCAGCCTAGGATAATGTGGTAGGATGAGGATGATGGGCTGCTCAGCCCGAGAAAAGCTT